ACCGCCCCAAAAAAAAAAAACCTCAAAAAAAAAAAAAAAAAAAAAAAGAAGATGGACCCATATAATCCCTCAGGTCTTTCCTCTGCCAGAAATGATAGTTAATGTCCCTGTCTTGTCACTCACCCCTACAGTTCCTACAGGCACACTGGGAATGGGATCTACAGTTATTTGTGATATCATGAAGAATGTACTCCCTGGAAAGACAGTGTAGAGAGCAGAATGGAACTGCAAACAGGAAGCACACAGCAAAAACACCTGATTGTGGATTGAAAGCATGTTCTTAGATTCCAGCTCTTGCTGGCTTAGAAAAGTTCAATATCACCTTTAGTTACTAGGATCTGACAGCCTGATTCTCCCTGGCTCTTCAAGTACAAGAAACCAGGAGTACTCTTTCATCTAGGGCTGAATCCCATCGGGGTTTCCTTGTCCTCTTTGGAATAAATGTGGGTAGCAACTGGCTTTTTTACCCTCAGTGCCTTCCTAGGTAACTCTGTGTGACCTCTTTGTCCTCTTAAAGGGTGATTCGTCAGTCCGTTGGGAGGATTTACTTTGCTGGCACAGAGACAGCCACACACTGGAGTGGATACATGGAAGGGGCAGTGGAGGCAGGTGAACGCGGGGCTAGAGAGGTAAGGAAGGAAGTAGAGGCACTCTCCCTCCTAAGTCACAGCAGCATTTTTGGCATCTACTTCTTTTAGCTCTTGAGCCTGGTAGAATTTGTACGTCCACTCCTCTGCCCCTCTCTCATATGCTCATCTATGGCCAGCAGGGCCTCGAATCTGTTGAAACTATACAATGTGATTTCATGATACTGTGGTCACTGTCTTTCAGATCTTGAATGCTCTAGGGAAGGTGACTGAAAAAGATATCCTCATTCAAGAACCAGAGTCAAAAGTAAGTTTGATGGCTCCATCTCCATAGACCATTGACAGTGCATAAAACACATCTCCCTTCTAATAGCCTCTGATTGAAGGGTGCAACTATCCAGGGGATACCCATGCACTAATTTTACTGATATATTTTGTTGCCCCTGATTAGCCCAATAGTTTTCCATTAATGATCTGTGTTTATTCATCTAGGATGTTCCATCAGTCGAAATCACCACCACCTTCTGGGAGAGACACCTGCCTTCTGTGCCTGGCCTGCTGAAGATCATCGGGTTGACCACATCAGTATCTGCTGTGTGTATTGTCATGTATAAGTGCAAGCTTCTTGCACATGCCTGAGGTTCCATCTTCATGCTTTGTGCTCACACTTTCCCAGCATCATCAGGAGGAAAATCTTACCAACTTAAAGGCTGTGTCATGAGGCCGTATTAAAATGCACTGAGTTTAAAGTCCCTCAGTTTAGTCTGGGTCAGTGTTATCATAAAAAGAATCTAAAGAATCACCTAGTTAATTTCAGTACGATCACAACAGAAAGAATCACCTAGTTAATTTCAGTACGATCAAACTCTATCTTATTTCTTTGTGTAGACTAACTCATGTTGATTGCTAGAATAAAATCTGTGATCTCTTTTATTTCAAAAAGTTGAAGTGCTCATAATTCCTAGGTCCTCTTTTTCTTCCATTTGATGCAAAATACCTGATGATTTCAGAAATAAACCATTTGACTTTTTCTCTGTAGAGGTGGAGTAGTAGGTTAGGGCCCAGCCTGTGACTGCCCTTTTTCTGTCCCTAGGCAGTGGTGGAGTGTTGGTACACAGCCCAGAAGCTCACAGCTTCCTGGACTGAGTGGCTCTTTATTTTGACCAGGAAATAATAAATGGAAGCAGTGGAGGGTGGGATGCATGCCCTCAGACCAGGACAGGGACATCTTTGTGGGCTGCTGCCTTGGGAATTTCCTGACCATCTCTAATTCCTCTGAATTTTCTAGGCATCTAATCTCACAACAGTGGCTTATCATATGTTTTCCTCTTTCACTTCTTAAGGATGAGAATGTTTACTGATCTATAATCCTCCAACTGACTTGCTAAGATGTGTGTGCAGCTCCCCGGATAAGCAGAATAAGACAGTGGTAGTAGAACAGTCCCCCAGGAGGCTGTGACACTGACTGCAGTGGGCATATACACTCTTCCTCCTGGAGGAAGGTGGCTAGACTTCGCTCAGTCTTTGTCAGTTACAACATTCTATGCCAGCTTTAGGAAAGCAGTATTTTTTTTGTTTGTTTTTGGTCAGGCAGCCCCTGGCTATTTGAAGGCCCCTGAGAGATGGTTTTCTTTTCTCCTATGACCATAGAATTAGATCTTTTAACTATGTCTTCAATATGGCTGCCTTTGCATAAATATTAGCAGGCCAGTTTCTGTCAAATAAATTCTGAAACACACGTGATAAATCTGTTATTTGCTGAGACTGAGATACAGAAAAGAAATTAGGACTCTATATTTTAACCTCGCTTGCTTTATTCTGTTTTACAAAGGCATGAAATTGAGTGATTTGATAGATGAGTACTGAGTTCTCTATCTTAGGAGTAACAGTATTCTCCCTCTTGTCTTTCACATTGTAAAAACTACCAGGTTTTTTAAAGCTCCTTCCAAAAGTTGTGGCCTTAAAATACTTCTTTATTAAAAATATAAATAGATTTTTATTTAAGGACAATTAATAAACTTGGATTGCCAGAGAAAACCATCTGATCCAAGTTTATAACAGGATTAATTTATAAAGCCTAATGTAAGTCACTGGACTCTGGTGTGAGGGCTTAAGGTCTTCTAGAGTTTTACCCAACTGAAAAACAAAGAGCTGGATTTTTTTGCTGCCTTTTACCTTGTAATTCCAATTCGTTTTAGCTATCTTAAGAATATTGGTAATGTCTTAAATTTGCCCCAGTACATTGGGAGTTGCCATGTATTATAGAAATCTCATCCCTAATCTATTACAGTTGTTTCTATCCACGTACTGATTAATCCAGTCCTGACACACCTCTTGGGAAATGCTGATTTAAATTCCTCAACTGGCAACAGTTTTAATTGTAATCAGGCTGTAAACATATGTAAGTGTTGATAGTGAAGGACTCCTGAGTATGCGATTTATCCTGTTCTTTTTCTGTCCCTAGGCAGTGGTGGAGTGTTGGTACACAGCCCAGAAGCTCACAGCTTCCTGGACTGAGTGGCTCTTTATTTTGACCAGGAAATAATAAATGGAAGCAGTGGAGGGTGGGATGCATGCCCTCAGACCAGGACAGGGACATCTTTGTGGGCTGCTGCCTTGGGAATTTCCTGACCATCTCTAATTCCTCTGAATTTTCTAGGCATCTAATCTCACAACAGTGGCTTATCATATGTTTTCCTCTTTCACTTCTTAAGGATGAGAATGTTTACTGATCTATAATCCTCCAACTGACTTGCTAAGATGTGTGTGCAGCTCCCCGGATAAGCAGAATAAGACAGTGGTAGTAGAACAGTCCCCCAGGAGGCTGTGACACTGACTGCAGTGGGCATATACACTCTTCCTCCTGGAGGAAGGTGGCTAGACTTCGCTCAGTCTTTGTCAGTTACAACATTCTATGCCAGCTTTAGGAAAGCAGTATTTTTTTTGTTTGTTTTTGGTCAGGCAGCCCCTGGCTATTTGAAGGCCCCTGAGAGATGGTTTTCTTTTCTCCTATGACCATAGAATTAGATCTTTTAACTATGTCTTCAATATGGCTGCCTTTGCATAAATATTAGCAGGCCAGTTTCTGTCAAATAAATTCTGAAACACACGTGATAAATCTGTTATTTGCTGAGACTGAGATACAGAAAAGAAATTAGGACTCTATATTTTAACCTCGCTTGCTTTATTCTGTTTTACAAAGGCATGAAATTGAGTGATTTGATAGATGAGTACTGAGTTCTCTATCTTAGGAGTAACAGTATTCTCCCTCTTGTCTTTCACATTGTAAAAACTACCAGGTTTTTTAAAGCTCCTTCCAAAAGTTGTGGCCTTAAAATACTTCTTTATTAAAAATATAAATAGATTTTTATTTAAGGACAATTAATAAACTTGGATTGCCAGAGAAAACCATCTGATCCAAGTTTATAACAGGATTAATTTATAAAGCCTAATGTAAGTCACTGGACTCTGGTGTGAGGGCTTAAGGTCTTCTAGAGTTTTACCCAACTGAAAAACAAAGAGCTGGATTTTTTTGCTGCCTTTTACCTTGTAATTCCAATTCGTTTTAGCTATCTTAAGAATATTGGTAATGTCTTAAATTTGCCCCAGTACATTGGGAGTTGCCATGTATTATAGAAATCTCATCCCTAATCTATTACAGTTGTTTCTATCCACGTACTGATTAATCCAGTCCTGACACACCTCTTGGGAAATGCTGATTTAAATTCCTCAACTGGCAACAGTTTTAATTGTAATCAGGCTGTAAACATATGTAAGTGTTGATAGTGAAGGACTCCTGAGTATGCGATTTATCCTGTTCTCCAGCTTCTTAGAAAACCAATTAATTTATCCTAATTATATCAAATGTATTAAGCTACAGATTGGGTATCAAAATGAATGTCAGTCCAGATGTGCCTAGACATGAAATTGAAACTGAGAATTCCCAACATATATGAAGTTGCCTAAAAGAAGATAACATAATCTTTTATCCAAACGAAAGTCATTTTAAGAGGCCGATAGAGCCTGGCCCTGTTAAGGCATCCACTTCACAGTTCTGAAGGCTGAGTTGACTCCATAGTTAGGTTGAGAATTAGGTTTAAAAAGTTTATCTGTTTGTCACAGGTTTTAAATAAGGTCTCATTCTCCACTGAAGAAAAAAATATTAAAGGAACTACATTTAGTTTGATTGTGACCTTGATGCCTAACGTTCCGCATCTGAAGTTTGCCCTGTGCTACCTGTGGGAGTATGCACACATGTGTGTTTTGCCAATGACGTAAGATTTTTGCCTGTGTGATATCGTTTTGTTTGTTAATAAAGTGCACTATCACCCCTGATTCAGACTGGGCTCTTCTATTCAGTTGATGGTTCCAGCCAAAAAGTGAAGTGGCTTCTCAGAGCAAGAAGTCACAGTAGTGTACTGTCTGGGGAGGATAGCCTTGAAAAAGTCACTTGCTGTTGACTCTACCTTCTCAAAGTTAGATTTGACTCCCATGTGTTATTAAGGTTTCCTGGAAACTGATGGAATGCTAGAATAGTCTGCCTGACTGGGCCATAGGTGTGTATTCTGATCCAAGATTTCTCACCTAATTAGCTTACAATACCTTGAGCAAATCACTTTGATTCTCTGCCTCAGTCTCCCCATCTGGATAAGGGTAGGTTGCAGTAGATGGCTTCTAAGCACTCTTTTCATGGCAGCATTATGTTACCTATACATTTTATTGCCAGCACTATTATTCTTTTTTTTTTCTTTTTCTTTTTCTTTTTCTTTTTTTTTTTTTTTGGAGAGGTTTTTGCTATAGGGCGCGTGCACTCACCAGACAGACAGAAAGAGACAGAGAGATAGAAAGTGAGAAATCACTCCCCAGAGGGGATGGCCACGCCGCAATCCCTTCTCCTCCATTCTCCTCTCGGGATCTTGGGCACACACGCACATGCTCCCAGTGTGAGTTTAAGCCACCGGGTTTGGGACTCAAACCGCAGTCGACTACGTGGGAGTCCAGTGACATAGCCATTACGCTAACTGCTGGCCCCCCACTTCTATCATTCTTGACTATGGGTATAGCAAGGGCAAGACACAGCCTTTCTGTCTCACTCCTTGTCGTAGATTGGATCCCTGGAAACAGACTGAGATGAAGAGTCAGGGAAGAGTTGGCTGGATACAACTTTCAGGAAATAAACTGAGCTGAATAAGGAATACAAGATTGGGAGGAGGAGAATCAACCTCAGTGCAATTGCAACTGAGTCAACAGGTCCTGAGAAGGCCCTTCAGAGTTGTCCCTCATTGAGGCAAGGAGGTTTGGCCTCAGACTCTTCATCAGCCATCCTTTGGGAGGGGGTGTTACCTTGGGTACAGCAGGTGCTAGGGCAATTTCTAGTGAAGAACTGCAGCCATGAACTGAGGGCAGTCTGTATTCTCAGCAACTGGGAGATCCAGAGTGGGGGACCGCATCTTCTGTACTCCCCACAATCCCATGTAAAAGGCATCGTGGGCTTTGGAGCTTTGGTTTCATAGATAGGATGAAGCAATTTCTGTGAACCTATTAAGTAAGGGACCTGTCAGGTAAGAGAGCTGTTTTAGAAGGTTCATTTCTGCAGTTTTTCTATATGGAAGAAAAAATTAAGAATTGGAAGGGACCTGGGAAATGATTCAAACTCTCTCAGTGAAGGAGTCCCATCTAGGATTACTAACAGAAAGATCAAAGGACAGAAAGATGCATTTATAAACAGGAGTCCTAAACGCCAGTGTCTTCAG